ATCTAGTATCAAAAATGTTTGATTCAGCACGACACACAGTCCTCAGAAAAACACCACACAAAAGTGCCAGTGCTGCCAGCTAAAACACACTCCAACAAAAAAAAATATTGGAGTAGCCCAAGATATAGCCAAAGATTGCAGTGCCACAGCACTAGTGAAAATTTAAATTTGCCAACTGGAATTCTTTTGGATAACTGGCTTTCAGATAAACGACGCTCTACTGTATATATGTGTGTGTGTGTGTGTTTGGAATTAGCAAAGGGAGGAAGTCTAAGTAAAAAAGTTAAACAAAAGTATTATTATTTTCACTGGTAAAAATAAAGATTACTTCCTCTTGTTGCTAATTTGAAACTACACCAATATAATAAGTTCTATTTATAAACAAGGTCTGTGTGAACAATATAAAAACAAAATCAAAATATTAAGGACATAGAGGCGTAAAGAATTAATGGTTGTAACAGTTATTCTAACTGTTAATTTACATAGTTTATCTGCATCGCTGGTAGATGGATTATTTTTATATTTTTGTTCCCTCTTATTAGCTACTCTGATGTCAGTCAGTAACAATTCATGGCCAATATGTTTCAAGCAGACGTTAATGTCCAATCAACTAACTAAAAGATAGTATGTCTAATATCTTTTAATGAATTATGTTCGAAGAAATACACTGTGGGGTGTTTCATTGGATAATAACCAACCATTTACACTCCATATTCGTCATATTCCTTCTCTGAACATCTAATTTAATCACTAAATTAGAAAGTAGTCGATAATAATGTGTGAGGTATTGCTCTTAATTAATTGATAATTGCCTTACAATATTATGAAAATACAAATATATTATCTTCATAATATTTAAGACATTATCAGATTGTTTTCAACAGTGTAATATAACCTGTCTATAAGTAGTTCAAATGAAAACAGTTATAAAATATGCTAGAAGTAAGTATAGCGTATAACCAATGTAATAACACAAGCATTAAAACTAAATTGTGCTGATGATATTTATAATTATATGCATATTCTTGTGCTTTTAAGTTACTTTTTCCTTTTGTTTTGCAGGAGTATGGGCATGGATGTCTTCATCCGGTCCTGGTGTCCTGGTGAGAGAATTATTGGCAATCTGACAGCAGTGCAATATGTTAATATACTAGAAGGCAACTTTTTACCCTCTCTCCAAGGGTTGGATCCATCAATAAATGTCCCGTTCGTCCGTGATTGCTCCCTGATACACACAGCCAGCTGGAACGTCAAAGTAACATCGAGGTCATAAACTGGCCAGGAAGGGGAACTGATCTAAACCCCATAGAACATCTGTGGGTGGAGATGGCTAGAGAGCCAGTCAATGCCTCAACACTGGATGAATTATGGGAAGCCCTTTGTGAGAGATGGGAAATATTCAATAGGAGCAATATATGCCAGCAGTTGGTGAATAGTATGCCAAAGAGGATAAAAATGATAATAGATAATGCCGGGTTTTGGACGAAGTATTGAACACCTTTGCCCCTTCTCAACACCTTTATGTATATAAGTTGTTCTGTTTTAATTAAAGATATTTTATTTAATTTTAATTGGGTTATCTAATAAAAAAAGCATCTTTATTAGGAGTCATTTCCTGGTTTCAGTAATTCATACTTGTCAGTCTGTCCACCAGATCTAATAAGATAGCATAAAAGTTGGACAGGTTTAAATCGCCGACTCAATACAGAATGCCGATCTGGTCCCTTACCACCTTTACTTGTACTTTTGAGGGAGTAGGTCTGTGCTATCCTGTGTATTTCCTTTCTTTCTTCTTTAGTAAATTCAGAAGAAAATACTAAATCAGCGTCAGTATCAGATGATGCATAATTTGCAATAACTTTTTCCAACTGACTAATAAATTCCTTTGTTACTTCTCCTGTTTCAGAAAATCCAAGTCCTTGTCTTTTATACGATTCATTGTTCCTAGCATAAACTGCTGAGTCTATTGAATTATTATTATCCCAGCCCATTTTTTGAAGAAGTTTATATCCAACATTACTTTCAGCAATGGCATTTCCAAGAGCACATGTTTGAAGCTTTTCTCTTGAGACAATCTGTTCACTTTCTGTATTTTTTTTAATCATCACTGTATAAGCTTTTTTCTTCAAATTTTCCAGTGCAATATCTGCAGCTTTATTTCTAGCCATTTGTTTTGTTTCTCCTGTTCCTTGGGCTAGGAGTGATTTATTGAATATTAAATTACAACTTGTAGTTATAGCATTTATATTTGAATATTTAAACACTATTGACACATTATTAAAAGATGCAGTTCTCATCATGACTTGAAATGAAGTACGTAATGGATCAATGTAGAATTCATCTAAAATAACTATATTATTAAAATTTGAATTTAGATTATGTAGTACTAAAGTTTCATTTTGCTTTCTTGCTGCTATTATTTCCCTAGCCTTTCTTTTCCTTTTTCTAACTGATCCAGGACGATTTTTCTTAACATTTTCAAAGGGTTTTGGAATTATACTATTCCTATGATTTTTCTTAACATTTTCAAAGGGTTTTGGAATTATACTATTCCTACAAATAATTTCAATTGCTTTAATATATGCTTGTCTTATAGCTTCTTGTTTTTTAGAACCATATGCATCAGTTATTAAATGTTCATCTATAAACAACCAGCAACGAAAACTTTTCTTTTTTTTATTAAATAAGCAATCTGTCCTTATATGACTCTTCATAACACTCATGTTAAGAACTTGAATAGGATTTTTTTCTTTCTTTTGGATTTTCACAATTATTTGAGAAAGATCTTTAAATAATTCTGAAATTTCTTCCTCAGACTTAAGAATTTTACAGTTTTCAGGTACTGATGATTCTGTATCATCTTCGTCAATTTCATGTTCACCTTAAAATAAAAATTATATATTTAAGAAACTATAGAAAAAAAATCTAAACTAAATTATATAAATTAAACTGTTTATTTTAAAATGCATTTGTTCACAGTATGATCCTGATTTACAAATACTTGATACATAAGAATTTGATATTACAAGCTGTTTCTTTACTCTCTCCCATTTATGAGACAAAACACCTAATATGAACACTGACTAATAATTCTGGAAACAATTATGTTCATTCATAACTGTGATGGCATTGAAATTCTTGTGCAATTCTCATGAAATCCTGGTTACATGGTTCATAGGTTCTATTCCATTTCCTTTGTTTCATACTGTGTATTCAATTCATTAGTAGGAGACATTTGTTCTAACACAATTGTACAGTTTAGTAAATTTTATCTCTACATTAGAAACTCTTCTACCTTAATAGCAATTTTATTAATTAAAAAAAATTATTTTGTTCTTTTGCTTGCATTCTGCATACTAAATTTTATATTTTTACTATTAAATAAAGAAATGTCTGATAACTTATATATTTAACTTTTCTTATTTTGTATTAGTTCTTGTGTATCAAATAATAACTTAACTCTTTATATAATTATATAAATAACTGATTAATTAATTAATTGATAAGTAAAAGGTGTTTTGCAGAACTTTATTATTATTTCGGAAACATGGTAATGTGATAGGGTCAGAACAAAATAGAAATTTGACCATAAGAAATAAAGGAAAAAGCTTATTCCTAATTAGAAAATTTTGATTTTTGAGTTTTTCAACATGATGTATACTGTAAATCAGGATTACACTGTCTTATAAAATTTAAAAAATAAAAATTAGTAAACAATAGAAGAAAAAATACTTCATTTTTATAAAAATGTAATAAAATTACTTCACATCATTGTTAATAAATAAATTCTTCTAGATTCAGGAAGTCAACTTTTTATTAAAAAAAAGTTATCAGTCAAAAACTGACCATTCTCAGCTTAAAACTGTAGAAATAACAGTTTAGAATAGTATATATAATGTAAAATCTATTATCCACTACCTANGTATTCCATTTCTCAAATTACCTATGTGCAGAGTATCTAGGTAATCTGCAAATTACCTACTAGGCACTCGGTAAAGTGAAATCAAGATTTTTGCTGGAACAACAGCAACGTTTCTGTACGCTTAAATTAACATAATGTTGTTTATTTAATTTGCAATATGTTAATTTAAGCGTACAGAAACGTTGCTGTTGTTCCAGCAAAAATCTTGATTTCACTTTACCGAGTGCCTAGTAGGTAATTTGCAGATTACCTAGATACTCTGCACATAGGTAATTTGAGAAATGGAATAATTTTCGCAGCTTTAACGGATCACCCTAGTTAATTCGCAGATTAGCTAGGTAATCCGCACATTAACGGATTTCGAACTTTAGCGGTAACATATATATATCAGAAGTTCTGCTCTATTTTCAAAAATTCTCAAAATTTTTCCTCTTGAAAGCAATCTAACCTCTGTATGATATAATGACTCAATATCTTTGCATTTTGTTGAAAAACACAAGTTTTCAAAGCTTTTCCTTTAATGGGATTCACTACTGTAATTATAATCTGTAAAATGGAATCTAGTTCAAAGGATAGAGATTTCCTTGTAAGAGCATGGCAGTGTAGGAAACATGCACCATTTTAAATTGTTTTTAATGTTTCAATGAGACTGCTTTGACATCTTGTCATCACCTTTGAGCTGTCATAGTATATGGCAATACAGTTTGTCAATATTGTATTTGTACTTTGCATAACCATTTTGAATAAAGACTGTCCAGTTGTGTTAGTTTCTACTGCTTTACAGAATAAAATAAAAGTAGAGTCCCATAAACTTGACTTAATGTAGACTGAGAAGGTATGAGTTACCAAAAATGATAAGTTTTATAAATAACAAAGATGCTATTCTAAATAAAGAAATTATTGCAAGGTATTATATGTGCAAACTTATTAACTATGTACCAATAGCAACTATTTCTATTAAATTTGTAGCTAAATTTTAATTTTAAAAGTATTGGCTATTTGATGGCTACTTTCAAGTTAGTGATGTTCATGCCATGGTGCTTTGCATGGCACCTTGTAAAAGAAGTTATATGCTTTGTTAATGCATAGAATTGCTGCTATTATTGAGTATTGTCAGTAAAGAATAACAACTTACTTGATCCTAGTGTTATAATCTAGAATTTACCTCTATAACTTGTGTTTTTCAAAATAAATAAATAAAAACACACAAGTTTTATGGAATGTCGAGTTACCAGGACTCTACTGTATCTTCAACAACATTCTCTGAATCATGTGATATAAGGCATAGGAATTATACAAAATTAGGAATACTGTATCTATCTATTCATCAAACTATCAAGAGAAGTATGTGCTTCTAGTTTTATCAAGAATTTGATTATGAATATCTTTGACTATATCACAGATTCTATATCATAGTCATTATAAAAAAATAATATAAAGTTCAATTTTAATATAATCCTATTTTTAATTATTATACAGTGGAGTCTTGTATGTGGGGATACATTATGCGCTATAGGAAATAGCCTTATCAAAATCTACATTATCACATGATTTATGCGAGTTTAAACTTAAGCCTAAAAGTTGAAAAAAAAACCTAATATCTCTGAACAACAAAATTTGAATTTTGCATTGTACAGGAGTTTACTATATAATACAACTCAGGTGTTTTAAATTAATGAATATATAGAAGTAATTAAAGTCCAATGTATAGAAGTAATTTTCAGCTCTTTTGAAGGCAGATTGTAAGCCAAATTAGAAATTAGATTATTACTAATTAATAAAAGTACTAATGTCAACAATCTTTTGATTTTTCAAATAATAGTTAACATTAGTACTTTGTTTTATTGTGTAAAAAGCTTTATTTGATGTTTTTGATAGTCAGAGACACAGATCTAAATTTTTACAATTAAATACATTGAAAATGCTACCATAATCTTAGTATAAAGCAAATAAAAAAATTATTGAGTTAAAAATGATCTTGCATTGACAGACAACTGACCTGACAAATGTTCTTAACATTAAAATGTTTTCAAAACTGAAATGTGAAATAACAGAAATAATATGCAGAAACACCAACAATCTCATAAAAAAGTTTCTTATGTGTATAAATTTCATAGGTAACAACTATGTTAATAAAATTACTTTTAATTCAAAGTTACACAAAAACAACATCTTTATACATGGTGAGTCAAAGTCTCTCATACTTTTTTCATTCTAAAAGTACTGAAGTTATATTTAGTTAATATAATAATACATAAACAGGAAGTCATGCATAAAAAATCAAATGGAATATTTAACGAATGTAAAACTTATTTTCAAGGTCACTTAAAACAAGATCACTTTTACTCCTTATGAATTTGAAGGTTTTTTTTATTTATTTATACTTTTTTAAAGAATTACTGTATTAGCCCAAATATAAGTCAACTCCCAATTTGAAATCCTTACTTTTACAAAAAAAAATTAAGATCCAAATATAAAATTGACCTTTTATTATTAATTTTATTTGCATACAAAAAATTAACAATTAAGACATTAAAAAATTTGGAAAGTCATTGAAATAATACCTCAATCACTTTCAACTTAATCAGAACTTTATTGTCATCATTCCTGTTTTCTATTTCATTGTCATCATAGTCTTCAGCCTCCTCAAACAGTAAATCATCCTCTGTCTTGTTCAAGTTGTTGGTAACATTTCTTAAATCCTTTACAATTGTGTCTTTACCGACAATCTTTCATAATTCTATTTTTTAACTTTTAAAAGAATTTTTATTACTTTTAATCTATGGAATTGACTATGAAAATTGATCATGTTCAATTCCATTTTTCTTTCTTTTCAAAATTAATTTAGTTAGAAATAAATTTTTTTCCTTAAATTTTCAACCACCTTTCCCAATTTTTGACAATTGTTTGTGACTAAAATAAAGAAGTTACCAAATTAAAATTTCTGTAGAATTTACTGAAATTGACTGATTCTATTGAATACAATAAAAAAAATTGGCTTAGTGTAATTGACTGTTTAAACACAATTAACTAATTGATTATTTTTAATTATGCCAAACATTTAATTCTTGTGCATAGTTTGCAGGCACACAACTTAGTTGACATTTAGTATTGCTGAACAATCAATGCACGAAATTTTAGAACAAGTTTGCTCTGTTTAACACCTATCACATAGAGCTATTAAAATCAAAGAAAACTTTAATCATTCAAATAAAGTCCAGGCATGAATATAGATCAAGAGTGATTTTTTTTTGGTCCCTTTAAAACTGCATAAAACATGGAGTAATATTTGGGCCAATATGTTAATATATCTTAAACATCTGTTTACTGTTTACCTAATGATGATTAAGGTTTCAGGAGTCAATTAAAAAAGTAAAGTGAAGTTAACAACTGTCAGAAAAAACATTATCTTAATACATGTTCAAAATGTTTACCCTCAGCAACAATAAAATACTGGGCATAGATGACCTTGAACATCATTTTCAAGGTCAACAAAATATTCCATTGATTCTCCATGTATTACTTACTATGTAACCTTAACAAAATTAATATAAGTCTTCAGTACTTTTAAAATGAGAAAAGGTGCAAGGGGTTTTTGGCTCTTGCTGTATTATTAAGTATCAGTTAATCATGGTCACAATTTGTAAATTTTAATGAATATCTACTTTAATAAAACGTCTGATTTCTATTTTGTTATGATTTAAATCTATCAAAAAATAATAAGTAAACTGAAACTGATGATTGATATCAAAGATAATGGGATATCAAATTGAAACATATATTTATTAATGTATTAAATACAACAAATTTTTCTTATAAATTCTCTTGTTAAATATAACAAGAGAATTTATAAAAAAATTTTTTTTATTGAAACTATACAAGGGTGATTCAACTCCAGTCCAGAATTTTAGTAATGGTAATAGTGCTGTTTGTATTACAAAGTCTCAATTTATGTTTCTTTCTCTAGGTATCTTCTCCATATGCTGATAATTCTCCCATCATTTTGGCAATGACACTATGATTGCAGAATATGTCTTTTGGTAAGTGTTAGAGCATAGCCTTAAGCACAGTGGAGGGAAATCAACTGGCTTGGTTGGGATATTTTGGATCATCTGGCCTACAGTCTGGATCTATCACTGTATAGTTATCATCTGTTTGAGCTTTTGAATGAAACCTGTCAAGATAGGAAATTTACTCAGAACACTGAAGTCTCTGCCTTCAGCATGACACACTCTAAAGTCAGAGAGTACATCATGTAATAGCTCTAACTCCAGACAAAAGACTTCTATTCTACAAGCATAGTATTGTTACAAAATTAATGGGAGAAGTGTCAACATGTGGAGTGAGAGTACCTAGAGAAACATAAATTGGAACTATATAATATATACAGTTCCATTGCCATTACTGAAATTCTGGACATAAACTAAACAGAACTTGTATAATCAAAATGAAGGAGTTTACTGTATAATACAACTCAGGTGTTTTAAATTAATGAATATATAGAAGTAATTAAAGTCCAATGTATAGAAGTAATTTTCAGCTCTTTTGAAGGCAGATTNGCCATTTGTTTTGTTTCTCCTGTTCCTTGGGCTAGGAGTGATTTATTGAATATTAAATTACAACTGTAAAATATAAAAACTAATTATATACATATTTGTTTTTTAATAATATGAAAGGAAAATAGAATAAAATGAAAGACTTGTTTGCATATTATAGAAATTGAAATAAATATGAGTATGATATCATATAATAATAGATCATTTAAATCATATTCTAACAATTCAGTGTTATAAAATTCTGCAAAATTAATGAAACTTTGTTAAAACATTGTTCCTTTATCTTCAGAATTTAGTATCCATGTACTCAAATTTCATTTCCTAAATTTTATCACCTTCATTCAAACTTCAATTTTTAAAAAATATAATGTAATTTTAAAATAACTGATATAAAAAATGGATTAATTATTATTTACGATCATTTTATATTTTAATTATTCATTCAATTCAATCAATCAATTTAATTCAATTAATAATTATTCAATGTTACCCAATTATTAATTAAAATAATTGTATAGTGTTTAAATTTTATCATTTTGTAAATTATTAAAATTTCATATTTTGCCATTCTAAATTGTAAAAGAATTAAGAATTGAGGAAATGGTTAATTAAGTAAAACTATAAATATTCACATTTAAATTAAAATCATTGTAGTCAGAATGATCTGTGGAAACATTCTCTTCTGTGTAATTTTATGTTTATTATTTATTTATCAATAACTTAAAATTATATTACTATTTTATATATTTATTTTATCATTACTCCATTTTTACTCAAACACTATGGAAATTTAAAATGAAAATGTTAGTTTCAATTTTTTTTTTTTTTCCGAACTGTTAATAATTTTTTTTATTTCATAGTATTTTAGAATTTAAATAAATAAATAAATAAATACCTTGTAGTTATAGGATTTATATTTGAATATTTAAACACTATTGACACATTATTAAAAGATGCAGTTCTCATCATGACTTGAAATGAAGTACGTAATGGATCAATGTAGAATTCATCTAAAATAACTATATTATTAAAATTTGAATTTAGATTATGTAGTACTAAAGTTTCATTTTGCTTTCTTGCTGCTACTATATTTCTAGCCTTTCTTTTCCTTTTTCTAACTGATCCAGGACGATTTTTCTTAACATTTTCAAAGGGTTTTGGAATTATACTATTCCTATGATTTTTCTTAACATTTTCAAAGGGTTTTGGAATTATACTATTCCTACAAATAATTTCAATTGCTTTAATATATGCTTGTCTTATAGCTTCTTGTTTTTTAGAACCATATGCATCAGTTATTAAATGTTCATCTATAAACAACCAGCAACGAAAACTTTTCTTTTTTTTATTAAATAAGCAATCTGTCCTTATATGACTCTTCATAACACTCATGTTAAGAACTTGAATAGGATTTTTTTCTTTCTTTTGGATTTTCATAATTATTTGAGAAAGATCTTTAAATAATTCTGAAATTTCTTCCTCAGACTTAAGAATTTTACAGTTTTCAGGTACTGATGATTCTGTATCATCTTCGTCAATTTCATGTTCACCTTAAAATAAAAATTATATATTTAAGAAACTATAGAAAAAAAATCTAAACTAAATTATATAAATTAAACTGTTTATTTTAAAATGCATTTGTTCACAGTATGATCCTGATTTACAAATACTTGATACATAAGAATTTGATATTACAAGCTGTTTCTTTACTCTCTCCCATTTATGAGACAAAACACCTAATATGAACACTGACTAATAATTCTGGAAACAATTATGTTCATTCATAACTGTGATGGCATTGAAATTCTTGTGCAATTCTCATGAAATCCTGGTTACATGGTTCATAGGTTCTATTCCATTTCCTTTGTTTCATACTGTGTATTCAATTCATTAGTAGGAGACATTTGTTCTAACACAATTGTACAGTTTAGTAAATTTTATCTCTACATTAGAAACTCTTCTACCTTAATAGCAATTTTATTAATTAAAAAAAATTATTTTGTTCTTTTGCTTGCATTCTGCATACTAAATTTTATATTTTTACTATTAAATAAAGAAATGTCTGATAACTTATATATTTAACTTTTCTTATTTTGTATTAGTTCTTGTGTATCAAATAATAACTTAACTCTTTATATAATTATATAAATAACTGATTAATTAATTAATTGATAAGTAAAAGGTGTTTTGCAGAACTTTATTATTATTTCGGAAACATGGTAATGTGATAGGGTCAGAACAAAATCGAAATTTGACCATAAGAAATAAAGGAAAAAGCTTATTCCTAATTAGAAAATTTTGATTTTTGAGTTTTTCAACATGATGTATACTGTAAATCAGGATTACACTGTCTTATAAAATTTAAAAAATAAAAATTAGTAAACAATAGAAGAAAAAATACTTCATTTTTATAAAAATGTAATAAAATTACTTCACATCATTGTTAATAAATAAATTCTTCTAGATTCAGGAAGTCAACTTTTTATTAAAAAAAAGTTATCAGTCAAAAACTGACCATTCTCAGCTTAAAACTGTAGAAATAACAGTTTAGAATAGTATATATAATGTAAAATCTATGATCACCATTCTAAACTGTAAATTCTTAGAATAGTCATAGTTCTAACTGAAAACGTTCCTTTTATTTAATTAAAAGCTGGTCTCCTGAAACTAGTGAAATTTATTTATTTTTCTGTAATAATTTATAAAATTTTAATTATAAAAAATTAATTTAAACACACACATATATATAAAAACCACTACAGAGTATTGATGGAATTATATTTAATATTTTACCAAATAATATTCAATAAATATTAAAATGCAAAAATGTTAGAAAATTCATATACATTAAAACAAATGCTGTGTATTCTAATAGAATTCCAAACTGTAGAAGTAAATTTATCAATCTAATGTAATTTTTTTAATTAAAAATGAATTATTTTTAGCAAGCTTTTATTTTTCCTAAATATCCTGTACTGAAATAGGGATGTATCTTACGTGAAAAAATATGGTATTTTTAGAAAGAGAACAATTTTATATTTATATGTTATAGTTTTATGATACATTTATATTTTGTATGTTATTATTTTAATTTTTTTAGTTACTTATTAGATATGGTTCTGTAGTTTATTTCAAAACATTTCATCAAATAAATAAAAATCATATTTTTTGAAATAAGTTAATGCACATATAATTTATTAACAGATCATTAAAATAGAATCAAAATTTTCACATACATTCTATAAATTTAGTATTTATTTAGTAATGCTGACTACACCAGGGGTGGGCCAACAGTTTTTGCCCCTTGGCCGAATTGGAAAGAAAACTTTTTCCACGGGCTGAACCAGAGGCTGCCCTAAGAAGATTTTGAGGTGGTGCAAGATCTCATTGTGGTGTCAGATTAGAGATTACATATACATTTTTTCACATTATCATGCTTTATCAACACTCTACTTACGAGATTTATAATGGAAGGTCAACTCTAAATGCACAGTGAGTTGTTGACCTTTTTTTTTTTTTTTTTTGGCATTAGAATTTTTCATCAAGCTATTCAGACTTCAGTAGCTAATATTGAAAGATTTATCGCGAACCACATAAATTCATTAGACAGGCCGAATCTGGCCTGTCTAATGAATTTAGACTGTTGGCTGTATGTTGGTCATGCCTGGACTACACTATGCTTAATAAATTATTGTCTATATTTGTTTAGAGTTCATTTGTGAACTAAAGTTGTGATAGCCATTTATGTATCAAAGACATGTAAGTTACATTTATATTTCCTTTTAATTTTTAAATATAATTTACATATACAGTAAAACTTCTCTAACTTGAAGCTCCAAGAGGCAGGAAAAAACTTTGAGTTATAAGTGACTTGAATTAGAGAACAATACATTAAAAAATTCCATTTCTGAATAGATGTGTATTTTTATCTGTCTTGCATTATATAAAGACGTCTTTAATAGTTTTTTGTTTAAAAAACTATCTTTGATACATTATAACTATATCTTTGATACATTATTTGATATATTATTGTTTAAAAACTATCTTTGATACATTATACAAAGACATCTTTGATAGTTTTTTTAAACAAAAAACTATCAAAGATGTCTTTGTATAATGCAAGAGAGATAAAAATACACATCTTTGTATATGTAAAGCCTTTTGCTGTAAAGCTGTGTCTTTCAGCAAATGTTCAATGTAGCTAATGGAATCAAATTATTTTACAGGTACAGTACATCTTGTTGAGATAAAGTGAGAGGTTCTCTTGCTTTGGATTGAAACATTGTCTGCAAATGGGCATTGGACAGTATATAAACTAACCATCTGAAAATTTCCTGGAAATCCAATAATTAGGATCACTTTGGAAAGAATAAATATTAAAACTCATGTTAGGGAAGTTGAAAATTTCATAAATCAGTGTCAGGAAACCATGAAAACCTTTGACTTGGAGAAATTCAAGTTGGAGATGTTAAATCCCTACACTATATTCCATTGAGACTTATCAAGTGCTTCATTTTCTTTGAGTTGCAGACGTTTGAGTTAAAGAAGTTTTACTATATTTAATTGATGCATTTAAAAATTCTTAATTCATATGCTTGAAATATAAGGTAGTCATTCAATTTTTATTATTTTTATATTGGTGTTGAAGTATATCCTACAGGCATATATACTGATGCATTGTGCAATGCCAGACCAAAGTTAAGGGATAATTACAGAAAACAAATGTTTAGTTTACATAAGTCTGACTATTGTTATACAGAGTAGTTGTAAAGTCCATGTGCAGTTTTATACTTCAGTAACTATAGCTGTAATAAATATTTTTATGTTAAAACCATGGAGTGATTCGTATTTATATACAATTTTTTATTTATCTGTTAATGAATTAGTAAAACAGACAGAACTTCCAAAATAATTAAAAAAGTTGTATACAGAGTACCATTATCTAAAATTCCATGTAGGCATCAGCATTCCTGACCATTTTTGGAAATGGTCTGCAACAAAAACTGCTCTCTGCAACATTTCAACTAAAATATGTTGACATTACTCTCAATGCTATCTTCTAGCACATCTAATTTACAAGGTTTTTGCTGGTTCACCTTTACCTTGAGATATTCCTAGCAAATTCATGGGCATTCCTCTGCATTTGATCATGTGTCCAGGAAGCTATTCTCTTGTGGTTAAAGCAAAATGGGAAAATGCCTCATTCTGATGAAATAAACTGGGTCTGTGCCCTTCTAAATGCTCACAATAAAACACACAATTGTCTTTAGCATATTTAATTAATTAATTAAATATGCTTGGGGAGTTAATTAAGTAATGTTTTACATTCATTGATTTTCTGATAAAGCAGGAATCAAAGAAAATAGAATTCTTAACCCCAAATCATATACTCATTAATTGCCAAAATTGTGACTTTTCAATAAGAAAATGTGGATTTCATCACTGGGAGCTCAAGAATGGATGTTATGTTATTTTATGAACCCTCTTACATGAAACACTGTTTTTTCAGACCAGATGATTTTCTGGAAGTATGTAGCTCATCTTTCACCAAGCTGATCATGGATTCTGAAAACTCTATTTATATGTTACAGTCCTCGTACTAAAGGGTTTGAGTGAAATACTCTTTCAGCAATCTTTGCACAGAGGAAAATGACATACCTGTCTCATGTTTACATTGATGTATAGATTTGTTGGAACTTTTCTCAATATAGCCTTATGGCTATATTGAAAAAAGTTACAACAAATTGAACTGGAAAAAAAACAGAGCATTTCCTTTGCCACTGGCATTCAAACTGAGATTGGCTGGTTAGCTCTTTGGCTGCTTTACCGATCCAGTTGACATTAGGTTAATATGCAATCTCTTGATTGTGTGATAATTTAAATGTCTTATTTCTAAATTAATATGCCTCAATGTCCTTAATGTATTCAAATATTATTTCATTCACCAGTACAGTGTGTATTTCTATTAATAGGACTTATTAAACTGGTATTTAAGATTACTGCAAATCAGTCAAACAGATTAAAATTGTTTTATTTACATTTACTTGTTAATCTTAAATACGAGTTTAATAAGTCCTATTAATAGAAATACACACTGTACTGGTGAGTCTTATTTCTACCTTTCTCTTTCAAACACCAACCATTTCATTATTGACTGCCACACTTCTACATGAACTATAATTCAAGCTTAATTATAAATTGACAACCTCAATGATGCCATTTGCTAGAATAATGCATATGTACTGTACAGTTGTATAATAGTAGTAAATGCTCCACATGATAATACTTTACTAATCTTCAGATGTCTACTATTCTCTTGCAGTAACTAAATAAAAAATCCAGCAAGGAGTTGAATAACTTTTCCAGCTGTTAAATGATTTATTTAAAAAATAACTTTTATATTATTAATCATAATATTAATAAATAGTGTGTAGTACCATCTGTTATGAGATTTTATCATTAAAAATTTTATTATTACAGTGGATTCTTGATCTATCATTTTTGGCAAGATTTGGGGAGAACTGATGCAGGAAAACAATTGACACAGGAA